ATTTTATATATTCTAGTATAACAGTATTCAATTATGTATTATCACATCATTTAATAATTTGATAATTAACGTGTTGTTGAACTCATTAAATAATGTAGCAATATATTATTAGATAAATATAAAAAAAATGGAAAAGGTTATAGTTATTACCTTTTTTTTCTTACTACTTGTTATTACCAAATCTTAACCGTTGATTTCCGCCAATCTAACGGTTATAATTTATTGGGTCACACTTATTAATTAATTATTAATTCTAATAAATTATAACCGTTAGATTGACGGAAATCAACGGTTAAGATTTGATAGTAATAAGTAGTAAGAAAAAATAATAATAACTATAACCTCTCCCAATTTTTTTTTACTAATGTTGTAAAACACACATGTTTTAATTAAGGGTTATTAGGTGCCATTATATGGCTTTATGGTTACAACTATTAGCATTCCTAATTAATGATGTATTAAACTACATTATGTATACTTGTAACCCCTTTTTTCATCCTTGTTCGCTATATATAGAGATATGTGCTTGTGAAGAAATGATGTGGAAGAGAAGAAATGAATTCTTGAAGAACTACTCTTTTGTTACTCTATTGTGTTCTTAATATCTCTCTAAATCTCCTTTTATTTCACTTGTATTTTCTATCTTTCCTAATTCTGGCTTCTTTCTCTTTATTTTTATAACAACTAATTGTGAATCAAAATTATTCTATTTATAAGATGACTCAACATTCATTTGAGTACGTATCAAGGCTATATAGATAAAGACTGCAAAGCATAATCTACTAGTTGAAATATTTTGTTCAAGGAGTATAAAGCTGGATAATTTTATAGAGGATTACTAACTTCCACAAGAAGATTAAAATCCTTTTTAATAAAGTATCTTTGTCTAAAGGATATTATATTTATTTAGGCTTATATACAAGTTGTCCTTGATAATTTTGTTTTAATTTAATGATTTAAATTAACTTATTTAATAAAGAAAGAAAACACTGAACTTTAATTGGAAAAACAGAAGAATACTAGGATTTATAGATAGAGAAGGAGAATGACCCCTAATTGTTCATTCACATGATGTAGGAGTATGCATAAAAATGAAAGGAATTGAATTGAATTATAAACTGAAGTCACTGTACTAAATATAATTGGTTTTTAAAAATTGGATCATAAATTCAATTAGTTTTTAAAAACCATTTTATGAATCGAATTATTTTTTTCTCTTATTTATTTATTGAAAAAGTGTTTCTTCCGTCACAGGAAATAACTTTATTTCCCGCAATCCCAAAATAATGTTATTTTGAAGTTTATAATAAAAAATAAAGTATATTTTTAAAAAAATTATTTTCTTTCTTGTATTATGAATTTTAATAAAATACCCTTTATTTTTAATCTTAAATTCTAAAATAATATCGTATTGGGATTTTATCTCATCTGACAACAGAAAAGTCAATCCATTTATTTATTAATGTAGTGCCTATTTTTCTTTATTAATGTTACCTTATTTTCGTAATTTTTTTTACTTTCTTTTTTCTCTTATGTATTTTTCTCCCTTTTTTATTTTCATTTTTATTTTATTTTTGAATTTTTTATTTTTATTCTTAGTATGATTTATATTTTATTTTTTCCTAAATATTTTTCATACTTTTTATTTGAATTTAAAACTAATTCAAAAACCAATTATAGAGATATGCAAAATAACCAAAACAACATAATTCCACTGCACTTAAAAAAATTATTTTTATAAACAAGTTTATGAATTGAATTTGTTCTTGAAAAACCAACCAGTTCATAAACCAATTTTTTTTCTTTTTTTTTTTTTGGTATCCGTTCTTTTCTTTTCCCTCTCTATTTTTATTGTCTTGTTTATTTATTTATTTAGTGTCTTATTTTTTTTTTACTTTATTTCTTTAGTTTTTTTATTATTTTTTCTTATTTATATTTATTTTAATATTATTTATTTATTGTTTTTGAAAATTTAGTATCATTTATATTTCTATTTTTTTCTCAATCTTTTCATACTTTTTATTTGGGATTCAAAATTAATTTTATAAAACAAGTTAACCAATTATGAACTGGTTCATAATAAATTTTGAACTGGTTATGAAGCAATTCAAAACTAACCCAAATCCACACCAAAAAAAAAAAAAACTAACCCAAAAAAATAAACCAATTAAACTCTACAAATTGAATTATTTTTTCCGATTCAATTTAATTTGGTGAAGAAAACCAAACTAAACTATCCACACCCCTAACTCCATACATATAATGAGTGGCATAAAAAACCTTTCACGGCTATTATATTGTCTGAAATGGGTGTAAAACACAAACTTTTACCCCCTCTAGGCATTCGTTATGACCTTTTATTTTTTTCATGAATATGGAAAAACTTTCGCATACTATTTACACAGCTTCGCAAGTTAACAGGGTCAAAGAAAGGATATACACACTCTTAAATTTTAAGTTAAGATTATTTAAATTGAAAATAAAAAGTTGAAATCAAAGTAAGCTTTAAATTAAATGTGGTGGATTCATCATTGTTTACTCACTTTTTATAGAAATATAGAAGAATTTATCCAAAGTATGTGTTAGTATTTTCTCTCTTCGTTAAATTTAATAATTACAAATTATTAATAAAAATTAAGAAAAAACTATAAAGATAATTTTTGACATTTTTGTCTAAAATAAAATGTGAAAGTTGTTAATCTCTACTATGAATGTTAGTTATTCTTAATTTTATATATTTTTTTAAGTAAAGTTTCATGTGTAATATTGTTCAATAAAATAAGTAGAGATAATAAAATCCTTGTTGGAATCCATTAATGGCGTACCAACCTTTCCATCCATGCCATGCCACTATGAAGTGAAGGGATTCGGTGCCAATTTGGAGAAGCAAGCCATTCATTACAACATTATATTTCCAACTACCCATTTTTATTTATCCGAATCATTGGATATGTCAATGTATTCATTGAGTGTGGCTAATTACTAATTAGTGCCTAATGTATAACGCCAAAATTAGATAATAGGACAATGTCTTGCAATTAGTAATAGATGTGAACAATGTGTATTTAAAACCAAGAACAACAATATTATCACATATATTTAATTACGATTGTTATTTAATTTTATGATTATAAAAATAATTAAAAAATTAAATTTAATATGAGGGTATCATTAAGTACTTCTAAATAGAGCCAAAGATAGCCTCCGAGCTGATTGGTAAGTACAAGATATTCTAACAACGTATATTTTGATATTCATTTTTAAATTTTTTCAATTATTAGTAAAGCTTCATGTTAATCCCGCTAGTAAAGAGAGGGTATACAATATATCAAAAATGAACTTAATTTAATAATATTACCTTAAAAAATTGTCAGGAGAGTGCAAAAGAAATATAAAAAATTAAGATAAGGAAACTTATAATTTATTGATACTTCTTACTATATTCTGTCCGAATATTGTTAAAATCATTGGGAGAGGGCATAGTTTGCAATAGATAAATTACTTCGACAATTTTATAGTTTCACGAAATATTCATAAAAAATTGAAATATGTAATAACACAATGTAATATGGAAAATTCGAGTCTTATATTGGACATTTTGTCATTAAGACAATATTATCCTCTCTATGGTGCTTAAAATTCATGAATAATCGTCTCTCAGGATAAAAGTCTCCTAGGATAAAATAGATTACTTTTATTCTTGTGATGACACTTCTACATTGAATAGTCTCATTAAACTCAATCTTTGTCTGACCAATGGCAAATGCGAATGCAATGGTAAAAAGATAAAGTCACGATTCAAAAAAACATCTATTCAAATATGAAATAACTCATCCATTCGACACGAAATGACGCTCATTTTCCATAATTAATTCCAAAATATTCAATATCTACAATAACATCATTTTTTTTCAATGGTATTGGTTAGATATCTGCTAAGGATATTAGTCAGCAGGAAATACATTAATTTTATAAGTTTTATTAATCCAATTTTGAGAAGAAACATTTCTCTAAAAGTAAAAAATAAATAAATTATGCTACTTTTTTCAATGCTATTTAATTCGTATGTAATTGTTAGTATATTTGTAAGGGAATACGTATATAAATTACTATAATTATTATTTTTAAATTATTAGCACAATCAGAATCATGTCAAATTTATTTGATTTAATTTGCAAATTAAAATTGTATTTAAATATTTTTAAAAAATAAATAATTTAATTCGTAAGATCTCATAACCCAATATTTAAATTTATAAAATTACCCAAATTAGATATATTTTGATTTATTTTTAAATAAATAGACTATTTTACCTGTTTTAAGGATTTGTTTCTATCTTTTATAAGAGTAAAAATGTAAAATAATAAAATAAAATAAATTTCATTTTTAATGACTTTCAGACTTAAGAATCGAATTCCAAATTAGTGCAAGTCCTTTTTTTAATGAATTATAAACATAAGATTTAATTCCTAAATCAAATTGAATAATTATTAATAGTTTTTAATCACATAAATTCATTTCAAAGTTTATGGTTAGATTGAAATTTTCTGTCATAGATTATATTTGTAAAATACATACATACTTTTGAAATATATAAAAAAAACCATTTAAATAATACAAGAATATTAAGACTTGTGTTTATTCCTTCAAATTGGTCTACCCCATACAAGGAAACTTTATATATTAACTTTACATATCTATATTAATATTATATCTAAAGACACGTTATATTTATAAATTTTTTTGTTTATAAATTATTACAAACTACACATTGTTCTTCCGGAAGAACATAGTGTAATTTGTAAAAAAATTGAAATTTTTTTATAAACGGATGTTTCCCTTTATATTTATTGATATTGAGAAATTAGCATATTGATTTATTTATTTTGTCAGAGCGCATTAAAATCATGCTATATAATAATAAAGAGCATTCATTCATTGATACTGGCATTTATTATAGCGCTTTGTTTCGGCGGTGCTTTATTTCTCTATATATACTGAGGATGCATTGGTGATGTGCGACATCACAACTCAACCAAAGAGAAAACAGGGCATAGCATAACAGACAGAGAAACAGAGAAGAAGAAATGGCAAAGTCCCCTGAAACTGAACTCCCACTCAAAGCTTTTGGTTGGGCTGCAAAAGACACTTCTGGCTTACTTTCCCCTTTTCATTTCTCCCGAAGGTTCATATCCTTTTATTTATTTATTTATTTATTTTGATTATTCTATTTTTTTCATTTTATCAATCTCATTTCACATGTCCCGCCTTGTGATTTTGTAGGGAGAATGGCGATGATGATGTCACTCTTAAAATTCTTTTTTGTGGGGTTTGCCATTCTGATCTTCACACTGTCAAGAACGATTGGGGTTTCACAACTTACCCTGTTGTTCCCGGGTATGATCCTTTTTTGTTTTGTTTTCGACAACTATCTCATGCACTTCTTATTCTCTTTTTTTTGTCACAATTTGTTTGTTTATGTATTTGGTCCTTTGTCCTTTTAAAGGACCTACAGAGAATTTTATCATTTTGAGTAAGATGAAAAGATATACAATAAAATTTAGGGTTTTATTTATACATATGCGGTGACAGTAGAGGTTGAGATAGATTTTGGTGCAGAGACATTCACTAGTGGGGCCCACATTTTTTAAAAATAAAAAATTAAGTCAGACAGAGTTTGATGAGTCTATGTCAAGAGATTAGAAGTGACAGCATAAGTATAAATATTTTAAATAAAAAACAGTAATTTTATCTAAAATTAACCCCACTCTAAAAGGATAGACATTTTTGACTTTGTTCATTCAAGTGTTGAATAGAGTAGAAAGTGGATGCTGAGCATCACCTTTCTCCCCTTTATCTTTTTTTTATTTTCTCCTTTACCCCACAAAGAAAAACAATAAAATAGAGGTTATAATATAATATATTAATATGCCATCTTATATCAATGTATCGTTGAATGTGGTGGGACACATATCCATTACTTTTCATTAAAAACACTCTCTTGTGATGGTTGAGTCAAACACAGTTTTATTTTGGAATTTGGATCTCAAATTCTTTATAGACATAATTTGTCTTTGAACTTTAGTCAACTAAGCGAAGAAAAAACTAAACATATCATCAAATAAGGATCCGGAATGGATCATTTGATGTTAGATTTTCGCTTGATCTTGATATTTGAGAATTTTCCGTTTATTATTTTCTTGATAAACATTCATAAATTTTGATAAGACCCTATCTATTTAATGACTATGAGAGAGAAATACAAAAATTTTATATGATTTTGCCAGGTAAAAATCTCCCATAAAAGGATCCTGAATCCTGATCCTGACCACTTACAATTCAAATTGAATTGCAGGGTGATACAGTTGTGATCGGACCGTCCATATTTTTCTATACCACATTTTGTTTTATTATTTCATATAAAAAAAAAAAATCACGGTGTGTGCAAGAACAATAATGATTACAGCTATAAGTGTACATGGTGTATATCACCTCACATCAAATTAGCCATGTGTTCTTGGATTAAAATGTTGGTGTGTAAAAAATGATATGCATTGACTTTTATAATTGTGTTTTGCAGGCATGAAATTGTTGGTGTTGTAACAAAAACCGGAAATAATGTGCAAAAATTTAAAGTGGGGGATAAAGTTGGAGTTGGTGTAATAGTGGAATCTTGTCAGGAATGTGAGAATTGCCAGCAGGATCTGGAGAGTTACTGCCCTCGACCTGTCTTTACCTATAACTCTCCTTATAAGGGGACACGAACCCATGGTGGCTTTTCTGATTTCGTGGTTGTTCACCAGCGGTATGTGCTCCTATTTCCCAACAACTTACCACTTGATGCTGGTGCTCCACTGCTATGTGCTGGGATTACCGTGTATAGCCCAATGCAATATTATGGGATGACAGAGCCAGGTAAACATTTGGGAGTGGCAGGGCTTGGTGGGTTAGGTCATGTTGCAATCAAATTTGGTAAAGCATTTGGGCTGAAAGTTACTGTCATTAGTAGCTCTCCCAACAAGGAAGCCGAGGCCATTGACAAACTTGGGGCTGATTCTTTCCTTGTTTCCTCTGACCCTGTAAAAATGAAGGTAAGTGAGATACAAAACTAGAAATCAGTTGAAGGAACTTGTTTCATCTAGGTTCTGGTTTTGACAAATTTACTTGTTCTTCATTAAGTTCTATAGGAATTCGTATGGATAATGATATTCTCATTATGCTTCTCTGTGATAGCGAATAATTTATTCTTTTGCATGTTATAATTTACTATTTAAAAGTTGGGTTATTGACATATTTCAAAGTTGGATAATGATGTTCTTTTATGTACTGTTTAAAAGTTGGGTTATTGACATATTTCAAAAGTTGTCATCAAATAATAGTGAGTTAATACCAAGAGCTAGCTACCATAGAGAAGTGAAAAAAGTTGCATGATAGAAAGTGATTTGAGAGTGTCATTGTGCAAATTACAAACCTAGACAATATAATACGATTGCGTACAACAAAATTGTAGAACATAATACTTTGCAGCTGTAGTCAATATTAGCTATGTAATATGTCTCAAAGCGAGAAAACCTCACTTCCTCCCTCAGATGTAGAATATAAGAAACCAACCATGTTCTGCTTCTCCATGATAACAATAGTAAAATAACAGAATGAATGGTTATAGAATTGCTCATAAGTCATAATGCCTTTGTATTTTTGCACGTATATTTTGCAGACAGCTATGGGAACTATGGACTATATCATAGACACAATATCTGCTGTTCATTCCCTGGTTCCACTGCTTGGTCTCCTGAAGCTGAATGGGAAGCTGGTCACTGTGGGATTGCCTACCAAGCCCCTCGAGCTGCCTGTCTTTCCGCTAGTTGCAGGTAAACCATCAATAATCCAATATGGTACAATGTGGTTTAGTATGTTACTAATAACACAAGGTGAAAAAAAATGACTTTAGCACAGGTTGTCCCTGAAAATAGCCTAAGATGAAAGGCACCCGGAGTGTAATATGTTCATTAAAAAGCTGAATGACATGCAATTGTCGAATTCATTATAGGTTCCAGATTTTCTAAAACATCGTCAGATATAATACATTGGCATCTGGTTTTTAGGAAATATATTTTTTCAAATTTAGTAGTTGCTTATTTGTTTTATCTGTTATATATTTAATTCCATTATGTGTAATTTTGTTAGTGATGTTTAAAACCAAGAATGAGTATCTATCCTCGAAACTTTCAGCAGGTCTGCATATCATTAGTAATACATGGATTTGTCCAATACAGTGACTAAAGTTTCCTATGTCACACTTGCAGGACGGAAGCTTATAGGGGGGAGCAACTTTGGAGGGATTAAGGAGACTCAGGAGATGCTTGATTTCTGCGGAAAACACAACATAACTGCAGATATTGAACTGATTAGGATCGATCAAATCAACACAGCCATGGAAAGACTTGGCAAATCTGATGTGAGATATCGCTTCGTGATTGATGTGGCCAACTCCTTCTCAAGTTTGTAGAAGCCACTGTGATTCTTGCATGTGAGGCCTTAGATGTCTCAGTTTTTTGGCAATAAAGATTGGTATATGATGCCGAACTTTAGAGATGAGAACATCCTCTCTTTCCTTCGATAGAATGCTTCAGACTTTAGAATTTATATTATGTTGCTTCATCTTTATAATATCCCGTTTTCTTTTGGCGGAACAAATTCCTAAACATTTTTGTCTAAATTCTCAATCCAACCGGCGATTGTTGAACTTTTATCCCTTTGTTGGATTCATTGCTTCCAAATGCAAGAATTTGTTTGCTAGTACATTTTACGATATGCGATTTTGTGCTTAAGAATTTAAAGTAAATATTTTGTTTTAAGTAAAAAATTAATAGCGTACCTGCCCTTGAAAGCAAGGTTTTTTATTTTTTATTTTTATTTTTTTATTTTGGTAAGTAGGTTTTTATTTTTATTTTTTGGAATAAGTAAAATCTTGTGATAAGGAAAGACTTTCCTGGAAACTTACTGAATATTTCAAAAGGGTGATTGTCTTACTTCATCTTAGTTATAATTATTTTGAGATAATCGCTGCATTGTTTATTCCCCTTATTTTGCTTTCTTACAAGTAAAGCGCCAATATGAATTGCTGCAAATGACAAATTGTAGGGAAGAACTACTCATAATCCCAGAAAATTGTTTGACGTGAAAGACTAAGAAGATAATATAGAAGATAACACCCTGATGGCGATCTTTATCCACTGAAATAGCAATATAGATACAAAGAAAATCAACTTTGTAAAACCATAACTACTGTTTTTATTTTAACCCAAACCATGTCCAACCACCCCCCAACCATGATTTTACCAAATATGTAATTTGTGAATAAAACTCAATTTGTACACCCCAGATGAAGTAACATGCTACCTTGTAATAACAAGAAGTGAAAGAAAAAGGCCAGTGACCGTCACAAACTCTCAGGAAGCCACTGTCTCACAGACAGATACAAATATGTAATGACAATGGAAGTTGTTTTGGAACAAGTAAACTTTGTTAGATGTGCTTAGAATATTCTTCAACTTATGATTATTCTGCAGGCTATACCTTAGTATTTATATTCCATTCTCAGCACAATCAAAACAGCTTCCGCTTGAATCAGCAAATTCCCTGTTCCTCATCTTGAGCAGAAAGATATGGGAGTTTTGTATCATATTGCTCTTCTGAGCATGGCTGTTTATTTTTCATCAATCATGCACACCTCATCAAGCATCTTGCCAGTGGACTTAACACTTGGCTTCACTGATTTACCACTGAACACTTCCAATTTTCATCATGACAAGCCTTACAACTTACCAATAAACCAACGTTATAGTTTTATAGATGGGGTACACAAGTTTTGGGTATATTCCACAGACGAACCTCTGTCCCGAAATAGCCCAACAAGGCCTCGATCAGAAATCCGCATTAGTGTAAACTGAAAAATCTCATTTGAACATTTCATTCAAATAAACACACTATATTATTTATGTGGCTCCTAATATATATTACCTATACCTTGCAGGGATACGATTATTCATCTGGGGTATGGCAATTTGAAGGGCAAGGGTTTGTGCCTAATGGTACTTCTGGTGTTTGCATTATGCAAGTGTTCGGGTCACGGCCTCCTCATGCCACCACTCTTATGGTTAGGACCTATAATGATTCACTTTTTTATTATAGGAATGCAGTCCTGGTTCCAAACATATGGGACAGATGGTTCCAGTTAAATGTGATCCATGATGTGGAGGCCTCAGATGTGAAGGTTTATGTTGATAAGGTTCTAGTTTTTGAAGCTCCGGGCCATGGTGGTAGGTCCCATTACTTCAAATTTGGTGTTTATACACAAAATGATCCTTCTTACTACATGGAGTCAAGGTGGAAGGGAATTAGAGTTCTCAAAAAATGTACATGATTATACTTTGGATCTATATTCCCCCGTTATCCAGTATCTATGTTTCACAACATTTGGTTAAATAAAATAAAAATGATGAGTACTAACTATAAATAATGGTGTTTTTTTTTTTGAAAATAAGTGGAATTAAAAAGAACTAAAGTACATAACAAATCCTTGGGTAAGCTACACCCGTCAGATCACTAGCCAGTAAGGCCTTACACTCAACTGGAGGGTCATGCAAGGTATGCACCCCCAAATCCAAAAAATTATACCGCCGTTTGGTATGAGTCATTTTTTAGGGTTTTCAGGAAACTGAATTTTTTTAAATTTTAAATTTTTGGATAGTATCGTATACTGAACATAAAAATCATATTTTAAAAAATCGAGATTCTCATAAAAAAAATAAAAAAAATTCTCACGTACCAAATGGCCCCTAAGAGTGCGAGTTTATCAGCAACCATGTGCCTAATTTTTACATCCCATTGCCTGTGAATTAACTCACGAATCCTACCAACAATTGGAGCTAAGGGATGTTGGGGGCTACAACCGTTGTTGATAAAGTTAATGGCCAGCATTGAATCTCCTTCCAGCCAGAGCTTCCTTACACCAGCCTCCCAAGCAATTTCAATTCCATTTAAGAATCCCCAGAGCACCGCTCTTGAGGAAGTACCAGCTCCAAGGTTTTGGCAAAAACCAACAATCCAGGACCCAGTCTCGTCTCTAAGAATCCCACCACAAGTGGACTTCATACCTCCATCAGCACTGGACCCATCAACATTCATCTTAAACCACCCCGTGTCAGGGAATTGCCAACAGATCAAGCGTTCCTCCTTATTCCGCGGTTGGAGACCCTGCTCGATGAGCATCGTTGATGTGAGCGACAAAAATTTTTGCCCCTCTTATCAGGGACTGTTGCGAAGGAGATTTGCTCTCGAAAACTAGAGTATTGCGGGCTTTCCAGATAAGCCAACACAGGTCCCTCCAAACCTGGTTATGAATGAGCTCCACCCTATTTAGATTTTCCTTGAGCCAAAGCTGGAGAGGTGCTGCGAAGAAATCCGTCCACTGAGCCCATGGAATAACTTGCCCCCAAAGCTCCTTCGTCCAACTGCAATCTCTCAGCAAGTGCAAAGTATCTTCGCAGCACCTGGGACACAAGTTGCTGTTTGAAATATGCCTGTACAGCCTATTGGCATTAGTCAGGAGAGAGTTGTTAGACACCATCCAGAGAAAAGCTTGGATTCTCTTAGGTCCCTTCCACGACCAACCTATATCCCAGTTTGAAACATCATTCTTGAACCCATCCTGCATGAGCAAATCATAAGCAGATTTACTGGAGAAAGTACCGTCAGAAGTGAGTCCCCAAATGACGAAATCTGGGCCATCAGTAGACTTGGGGGGCATTACGTTGGCAATAGCAGCACAAGACTGAGGGGAGACAACCTGTTCCAAAAGGTTCCAGTTCCACGCCCCAAGAGAATCAACAAACCTGTTTACTTTCCAAAGGCTAGCTTCTTCAGGTAATATGGTAGACTTTTTAAATTATGTGTTGAGATGCTTTGGAAGCCACTGACACAATAATGACACAAGTTTTATTAGCCACTGACGAGGTAATAAAACATCTTCCCTGAAGGTATACTTTTCCCTGCACTTATTTAAATGCCTTATTATAAAGTTGATCTAAGTTTTTAAACTACACTAGACTTTTTAAGCTCGGTCTAGATCCAAAACCAGATGAAGGTCCAAACCAAGAAGGGCCCAAAAGCCATAGAACTTAACCACGAAGCATATGCGTACATTTCGTGTAAATGTCTCGGACATCTTGCATTCATAGCTAAGTGTCCACTAGTAAAGCTATGCAGGCAAATGGGATGTGGCGAGATCAGCCGCTCAGAGTCACTTGATCACCACATGAAAACCAATGACTGAATGAGAGCATTAGCTTGTCGCAATATTTATAAGGACTAGCTTGACTATAGGTATCTTGTCCACGATATAGCCTCTGCAAGGCCATTACTCTCCACCAATGGGAATGAACACCTCATACAAAGGCGGCATAAGCAAGGCATCCCTCCACTATAAATACAGAGGCATTCGGCTCAGGTAAAATCATCTATTATTAAATACTTGAACTACGTGAATATTGAACTTGCTTGAGCATCAGAGTGCCTTACAAGTACATCCCCCAGTCTCCTCAAATTGCCCAAACACCAGTGCACCAGCCTAATCATCTTGCCATAGAACCTAGGCTATTTCGCCAACAACCTATCATCTCAGCAACACTCTCTTCATCAACATCCTCTACATCAACCATGTGTGGACCAGCCTAGCCCTATAGTTGTTGGACGGCTCAAAGCTAGAAAACAAAATATTTACAAGGGAACATGGTACAACATACTTGTTAGCCTTGTAGTTTAATGGGTTAATTGTTATGTAGTGTGAACTTAATAAAAATAGATATTCTCATATAAAATTTTCACACCTTTTGGCGATTTGAAAAGAGAGGTCATAAGAGTTTATTTTTATCTCTCAGTGTTGGGATATTCAAATGTGTTGAAGTCTCACATTGATTGGTAATAGGCTACGTAAAATTCATATAAGTGGATGGATCCAGGTTTTGAGTTGAGACATGATGTTGGACCCATTTTGTATGGTTGGTCTAGCTTAACCCATTGGTGGTGGTTCCCTGCCATAGGCTCCTCCTAGCCCACCTGACAATGGTATCAAAGCCGAGTTGACCTCGAGATAGCATAGTGTTTGACTAGAGACGAGTTGAGCACTTGAGCCTATAGTACTAATGTGGGGTTTCACATTTGAGAGAGAGATTGTTGGGATATTTAAGTGCGATGGAGTCTCACATTGGTTGCTAATTGATTAAGTGAAGTTTATATGAGTAAATGGACCCATAAACTTAGTATGTTAAGATTTTGGATTGAAAAATAATATTATACCCACTTAGTATGATTGATGTAGCTTTGATAGTCCCTGTCATGAGCTCCTCTAACCCAAGTTAACAATAACTTTATCTGAAAACTTCCTATGAGATCATATATTTCCCTCGACTCAAAACACATTAGATCATCGGGTACCACACCACAATGATTGCATTGTAACATTACAGGCAGAGAGACTTGTGTATATGTATATATGTTGTAACATTACCTATATGTATATATGTTGTAACATTACCTACATATTTTTATCAATGTGTGATGTTGAGAAGTTTTATCATCTAGTGATTCCTAGCTAATCATATAACCAACTAGTTTGAGCCCAAGACTTCATTTATTAAGCTTCGATCATCAAATTAAGAGGAAAATATGGCACTGATTATAACTATATATAGCAAAGCTACTTTCCTGGAAAATTTTATTGAACATTACAAAATGGTAATTGTTTTACTCCCTCTTAGTTATAATTTATTTTGAGATAATCGATGCATTGTTTATTCCCCTTATTTTTATTTCTTACAAGTAAAGCGCTAATATGAATTATGTTGTTCTAACCAGCCCCTTTAGGCCCAATAAGATGGGCTCAATCTTAAAAGGATAACAAGTCTTCCCATATATCTACACTGCTACCCACTGTGCATTGACAGTAAAGTAGTATGTCTTGTCTCAATGATAAGATTTGGCTAGGTGGTACAGCTTTCCACTCTAAATATTCCCTTCTCCTATTAAAGGAAGGAGCTAATCTTATCATCTTTACATCTATGAGCTATTACAACCTAGTCATTTTACAAACCAGCTTCTATATACTGCACCTGGGAAGCTTCTCCAAGGCCATGGTTGCTAAGAGCACCCCTATATTAACATATTATATCACTTGACGAGAACATCTATAACTCTACACAAATAACAAATTGTAGGGAAGAACTACTCATAATCCGACAAAATTGTAATATAGATAAGAACACCCTAATGGCGATATTAATCCAATGAAATAGTAATATAGATACAAAGAAAATCAACTTTGTGAAAACCATAACAACTGTTTTGTTTTTTAACACAAACCATGATTTAGGACTTAAAATCATGTCCAAACACCACTCAACCATGATTTTACCAAGTAGGTAATTTGTGAATAAAACCCAATTTGTACATTTTAATTTGGGGGTTTGGAAGTAACATGCTACCTAGTAATAACAATAAGTGAATGAAAAAAGCAAGTGACCGGCTCAAACCCTCAGGAAGCCACTGTCTCACAGACACATACAAATGTGTAATGACAATGAAATTTGATTTGGAACAGGGGAACTGAGTTAGATGTGCTTAGAATATTATAATTCTCCTACAGGCTATATATACCTAGTATACATTCCATTCTCAGCATCATTGAAACAGCCTCCACTTAAATCACCAAATTATTAGTTCCATTGAAATAGTCATTTTGATGAATAACATGCAATAACATAAAAATTGACCATATGTGTGGGGAGTTTTCTTCATTATACTTTGTAAATCATGGTTTGACCCAACAAAAAATCAAGTTTGTAAAACCATAACAGTTTTTTATTTTTTAAGACTTAAAATCATGTCCAAACACCACTCAACCATGATTTTACCAAATATGTTACTTGTGAATAAAACTCAATTTGTACACTCTAAATTGGGTTTTTTGATGTAACATGATATACCTTGTAATAACAAGTTAAAAACAAAAGCCAGTGACCGTCCCTAACTCGCAGGAATCCACATTATCACAGACACACACAAATGTGTAATGACAAAGGAAGTTGATTTAAAATAAGTGAACTTTGTTAGATATGTGCTTAGAATATTCTTCAATTTATAATTATTCTGCAGGCAATACCTAGTATTTATATGAATCATTTTCAGCCTAACTGAAACAACTTCCACTTGAATAACCAAATTCGCAGTTCCTCATCTTGAGGCTTGAGCAGAAAGATATGGGTGCTCTGTATCATATTGCTCTTCTGAGTATAGCTGTTTATTTTTCATCAATCATGCACACCTCATCAAGTATCTTGCCAGTGGACTTAACACTTGGTTTCACTGAATTACCACTGAACACTTCCAATTTTCATCATGACAAGCCTTACGACTTACCAATAAGCCAACGTTATAGTTTTATAGATGGAGTACACAAGTTTTGGGTATATTCCAGTGACAAACCTCTGTCCCGAAATAGCCCAACCAAGCCTCGATCAGAAATCCGCATTTTTGTAAACTCAAACATCTCGTTTTATTGAAATACACACTCTATATACTATTTATGTGGCTCCTAATATATATTACATATACCTTGCAGGGATACGATTATTCATCTGGGGTATGGCAATTTGAAGGGCAAGGGTTTGTGCCTAATGGTACTTCTGGTGTGTGCATTATGCAAGTGTTCGGGGTACACCCTTCTGGTAGCAATCTTATGATTAGGACCTATAATGATTCACTTTCTTATTATAGGCATCCACTCCTGCTTCAAAACATATGGGACACATGGTTCCAGTTAAATGTGATCCATGATGTGAAGGCCTCTGATGTGAAGGTTTATATTAATAAGGTTCTAGTTTATGAAGCACCGGACCATGGTGGTAGCTCCCATTATTTCAAATTTGGTGTTTATACACAAAATGATCCTTCTTACTACATGGAGTCAAGGTGGAAGGGAATTAGAGTTCTCAAAAAATGTACATGATTATGCTTTGGGTCTATATTCCCCCATGCATATATTATATCCTGTATCTCTGTTTTACAACATTTGGTTAAATAAAATAAACATAATTGTACTAACTATAGAAATAATGGTGCTCTTTGAAAGATAAAATATGTGTAATTAATTCGTTCTAGTTATAATTGCTTGGCATGTGTTTGAAATTCTATTAATTATACGAACCCAAAACGATGGTTTTTCTAGCCAAATCAAATAGTTGGATGAAAGGAGAGCATTGCACATATTTTCAATTTTATTTTTTTATAATCACGCCATATATAGTTCTTTTAATATTATTAGAAGAAAATGTACCGTCAGCCCTATACACTTGCTTAATTAGCGGAAGAATTTTGCAATTCCTCTTACACGTACTTAAATGCAAGTTACATGGAGATTCATTCTTAAATCGCCGTTATGTTTTCTAGAGTATTGACAATTTCACAACGAATTTTTGGAAGTCATAAAGGCGCAATTGTGAAAGAAAGGGAAAAATTGTCTAAAATCTCAAGCAGCAGCAATGCAACAATTCTATGCCCATTTGAAATTAGCAAACCTACTATGTTATCATTAAGTTGTCTGTTGCTAGCTATCACAAATTATAATTTCAGTTTGAATTGATGACAAATCATCACAAATTATAATCTCCAGTCAATTTTATTTTTATTTTTATAACATAGTAATTGCAGTCAAAATAAAAGAAGCTGAATTTATCTAAAAAAGCTTTCCACATCGAACTTAAGATCTTTCCTCTTCTTACATGGGAAAACCACGGTTCACTCCTAAGAGAAAGCAACTAAATGTCAAAGCAGAAACACGATGATCATGAATCAAAGCCTTCTCCAAAAAGAGACACGATATTTATTTATTTAATCCTTAAAGATTGGCATCGAAGGTCCATCAGCAGCAGGAGCATCACAGTAGCCACGTAAATAATGACCTTCCTCAGCAGAGAATATGATGTTTATTGGTCGGGCTGATAATTAGAATCGGCCCAATCCTTTTTAAATCAGGCCCAACCCTACAACATACTGAGGCGAAAATGGATTGGGCTGTGAAAAAGAGGAGTAAGATGGCGGTGTGGTGGAGATGAGAAAGGGTTTTGGTGCGTACTGAGTGAGGAAGAAGAAGAGATGAGCGTGGAAGATCTTCCGCGGAAGGAGGTGAACGTGCTGAAGGGTCACGAGGGTGCCGTATTGGCCGCCAGGTTCAACGCCGACGGAAATTATTGCCTCAGTTGCGGCAAAGACCGTACCATTCGCCTCTGGAATCCCCACCGTGGCATCCATATCAAGACCTATAAATCCCACGGCCGCGAAGTCCGCGATGTCCACGTCACCCCGTACTCTCTCTCTCTCTCTCTCTCTCTCTCATCTTTACGTCATTCTTGATATATGTAAATGCTGAATGTAATTTGATTACTGAGAGTGAATTATGAAATGTATGTATGTATGTATATTCAGAATGTAATTTGCATGTTATTATTTCAGGGATAACTCCAAGTTATGTTCCTGTGGTGGAGATCGACAGATCTTTTATTGGGATGTTGCCACCGGACGTGTAATTAGAAAATTTCGTGGCCATGATGGTGAGGTACTTCTTATTAATATTTATTCTTTGCTATTGTTTGAATCCTGTTATTGCCTTTTACTCTTTACAAATTACACTTGTTATATGCACCGGTTCCAGACATATGTCAATGTGCACCTTCAACAGAGTTATTCCTGTTATTTTTTTATTTTTTATTTTCTCAAATACTACATTCCATATTTTAATTCATTTACAAGAATAAAATTAAAATTTAAGATCCTCAAGAGTTAAAGTGGTTTTGAGTTCTTAATGATTGTTATTGCGATATGTATTGACCTGACACTTAAATCCAAAGTAGGCTATAGAGTTGTTGTTGAGATATATAGTCCCACATTGGTTGTATGAGCAACTAATGTGGAGTTTATAAGCCTTGGGCACTCCCACCCTTTGAGCTAGCTTTTGGAGTGGTGTATCCCAAGGTTCTTTACAGTTGTAGATGTCATTTTTATAGTTTCTGATTGATAGTTTCTCTTGTAGGTAAATGGTGTAAAATTCAATGAGTATTCATCTGTTGTAGTCTCAGCTGGATATGATCAATCATTGCGTGCTTGGGACTGCAGATCCCATAGTAACGAGCCAATTCAGGTGGATTTCATCAACTCATCCCTCTTCGCCCCCCCTCCCAAAAAAAGGGAATTTATTTTTCTACTGGCTCATTAATCAAGAGTTGCAATTTGATATGCAGATTATTGACACATTTGCAGATAGTGTGATGTCTGTTTGTTTAACAAAAACAGAAATTATTGGAGGAAGTGTTGATGGAACTGTTCGAACTTTTGACATTCGGATTGGCAGGTTTGTTCCAACATATTTAGAAAACTTCAAGCCCATTTTTTTTTTCTTTTTTGTAATTAATGAATTTATGTTTACAAAAAACTTATCAAGTAATGTTTGTTAGGTGATATTTCAAAATGAAAGAGATACAATGCCATTAGACACTTTTAATTGTTGCCGTAGAAGTTATTTGAATTATGAAATTCTACTAATGTTTTCTTTTCTATTCACTAGAGAAATATCTGACAACTTAGGGCAACCTGTCAACTGTATTTCACTGTCAAATGATGGTAACTGCGTTCTAGCCGGTTGCTTAGACTCTACTCTGCGTCTTTTGGACAGGTATGTTTGTAACATTTTGGTAAAATTTACGATGGGCCTATATCCCTGCTTGTTTCATTGTATTTGCTTTTGACAGATCTACAGGTGAACTATTACAAGAATATAAAGGACATACTAGTAAGGTTAGTCTGCAGATGCCTAAATCTGTTTTTACAACTTTCTAATGCTCCACATATAGCATTATCTAATGATACAGGAAGATACTGGGTGCATGCTCCCAAATAATTGTGGGCTACAAGTTGAGATTCACTGTCAATTTTACATTTGCATTTCTGGAGTACTATTTATTGAATCCTGCAATTATTTATTCTTAAAGCATAATTTTTGTGTGTTTTAAGTAACTTTACTTCGTTCCCTACTAACATTTTGACTTAGTCATTTTATGAAATTTGATCATTTATATTAAATTGTCCTCAGTCTTACAAATTGGATTGCTGCCTTACCAATACGGATGCTCATGTAACTGGTGGCTCTGAGGATGGCTTCATCTATTTCTGGGATCTTGTAGATGCGTCCGTTGTGTCAAAATTCAGAGCTCATACCTCAGTGGTAAATTTTTTTACTAGCTTATTCTTTCTAGAGGAAAGCTGTGCAAGAATGATGCTGAAAGGACATTATAGACGTTTCTTTGACTAATAGTTTTACATGAATCATGATTATGGCTTCCTCACGTTTTCAATTCCTTAAGCCTCAACAAAGGAAAACTGAGTTCCTTTATAGTACTGGCTTAATATCATTTTACAAAATTGCTGTCTAATAAATTTATGCTTTTTCACTTAAATTATATGATTTCTCATGGAATGGATTATGTTTGTGTGAGCCACTTATTTTCGCATTGTGTTGAAGCCCTGTGTGAAAAAAATTGTTGTGAAATAAATTTCTCTCTCACAGAATATCTCGAGCAGTTATTGTTGATGCTACTATGGTTTGCTGCTGATTATTAGTTAATGCTCTTTATGCTGCATTTTATTATTGTCAGTTTCCAGTCTAATGACAATGTCATCATTACCTTAAATTATGTGTTGAGATGCTTCATTTCGTTTGTACCGAAAAAGTGTGTTGCTGCTGGGACTGATGGCATTTTGGGTTTTATAATCCAATTGTTGTTTTGCTTTTAGAGACGCATAGGTTTGTGCATAGTTTTCTTCTAATTAACACCTTTTGGAAGGATACGACAATGATATAATGCACAAGGATTTTCTTTTGTCAGGTAACAAGTGTAAGCTATCACCCAAAGGAAAACTGCATGGTAACTGCTTCTGTAGATGGCACCATTCGAGTATGGAAGACATAAGAATAAAATGCAACCACAAACCTTATCTGGTGTGTCCGCGCGGGTCTAACCGACACTAATTAATGTAATGATGCTTACTTGTCCAGTTGCAACTGGAGCCCACAGACTTTTTGTAGTATAGTTGGCAATCAAGTGGTTGCGATACTGTTCTGTACCTACAAATATATATTGTGATCTGATCTGTAACTGGTGTTTCTCCAATGATCTAACCTCTAGTTCCTTTTATTTGTAGGCTAGTCGTTTTAACTAACCAAAAAAACTGTTTTCTTCAGATTAGAGAAGCAGAACATTATGGATAGCTCATCTCATTAATCGTTTCTCAAATTGATTTGATTAATATTTTATTTACTGTTGCAAGACATGCATATTTTACATGTTGTGGATAATTATATTGATTAGGTATTAAGGATGCCTTTTAATATGACCTTGTGAATATAGTCATTAATATTTCTAATAATTTTGTAATAACGTACAAATTATGGATAGATTAATCTTATCTTCTATTTATGTTTGTCGTCTTATATAAAGATATGTTTTACCCATGAGAGAAGTAATAAGAAAGAGAGATTATAATTAGTTCGACAAATAGATTTTTAGAATTTCTAACCAAAATTTTCATGTTTCATTCAAAATACAATTATTTACAATTAAGTAATGCGTTTGATCAAGTTGGAAGTTTCATTGAGATAGAGTATTATTATTATAATAATTATTATTATAATGTAACATACTTTATTTTTCTTGTAACTTCTTGCTTGAATGTGTTTTGTATATCTTCATTGTTATATATTCTTGATTAATATGTTGTCTTATATTTTACAAAATTAATGATTTTTTATTATTATTTATATAAATATTTGTGTTATGATTTTTAAAGATTTATACTTTTTATTCATGATTAAACATTTCAATCAATTTTAAGAATAATTTAAAACAATGGTATTGAGAAAATATTTTTTTAACTACACTTACACTAAGTATGACTAATCATACTTCAATCAATAGTGTACCAAAAATTTGTAAATGGATCATTTCTTGTATATATAATGGTTGATTAAGTTTTAAGAGAAACCGTTAGAATGACTTTGTTTTGTTGTTATAATTCTTATCTCTCTTAATAATGATGTAATAACCAGCATATTATACAGAAATATAAGCTCACTCTACAGACTTTTTGATCAAACCTGATTTTTTTTTAGAAAAAAATACTAATTTAATTTATTTTTTGAAAAGATATTTCAAACTAATGTCGTCAATCCCGCAATTGAATTCTTCGAGACAAATCCTGCACATCATAGAATGGAGTCTCGCATGACAAATATATGAGACTTTACAACAAATGTGCGAGACTTAAAAGAAGAACATTAAACCTCGTACTGTTAACATGAGAGACTTTCACACTGACAGTAAATCTTCCATCACTGATACGTGGAAATTGTCTCATACAGTTAACAAATATTTACTGCATTAGTTTGGAATATATTTTCAAAAGTGAATTAAGTAGATATTTTTTTTGTGAAAGACAATTATTTGATAAAAAAAAAATCCATCTCTTCAATCTTATCTAGTGTTATCCATAAAGAAGTAATAAAAAAAAATTATAACTAGTTCATAAAGAAATAAACTTTAAAAAATCATGTTTTTATTATCTTAATCTCTCTGCATTCCCTATCTTTAAATTATTTACATGAACATTTTTATTTAAATTTTGTTCGTCAGAGATATATAAACCAGTTTAACAATTGATTGATAGATGAATTAACCCAAGTTGTCTTTTTCCCTTTAACTTTTCCATGTCAAAATACTCATTACCTCTATAATATTTTATTCTTTTTTAGTTTATGGTAATACTAACTAACATATTTATTTTGACCAATATATGTTTACTGTACAATGTAACTAAGCACGCAAATTTTGACCAATATATATTTACTTTCATCGATCGTGTTAATAATTATGTAACCGACACATTGGCGTCGAGCCACCCGTGTGCTTCATGTTCTTGTTTGGATGCAGAATAACTCACACTTGCTCTGGCATCTACTAGAACGTGAACTGGGGTAGTTACATTACATCCAGCCAAACGAGTAATAAACTCACAGCGTTGTTGTTATATGATTAATTTTGAAGTCTTCGCTGTCACATTTTCCAGGCAAGATGGATTCCCGCGTACATGTGGCTTGCAATTATAACAATAATAAAATTTAGTGGTCGTTATTGTCATTATCATCGTCATGATAGCATCTTGTAAATATACATTTAACAATTATTTTATTTAATGTAAAATATTTCGGTATATAAACATGCCAAACGAATGCGGTTTAAATGTCCATTTGTTTTGGTGAAGTTTATTTATCTAATGAACACAATTGGGATTAGCTAATAAGAAAATACAACTTATAATTAATCACAATTTTGTAGATCTTGTAAAGGCAACTCTACCTAATCAGGCTAATTAATATTCTGATGTTGATGTTGATAAAATTATGTAATGCGTATAAATTGCATATCTCGCAAAGTCAAAGACATATTCGATAGCAGATTGATATTTGAGTATCAAATTTTTTGTTGTAAAAAAAAAAAAAAAAAAAGATGAGAATTTTAACATCCTCATAAATTTAAGAAATTATTAATGACATATATGAAATGAATAAAAGTATGAGGATCTTGATTTCAATGCATGTTATATTCCTCCTAATCAACTTAAATAAAATAAAATATTCGTTGATGTTACACTATACCAATCTATCTTATGTATTGTTTTGAGTTTGGTGGTCTGTCAAATTATATATTTCAATGAACCAGGTAGAAAGGAAGACTTGTATGTAGCGTTGTCCAATTATAATAATTGTATCCACCCTTTACTTGTTGTAGTGTAGAACCTTTGTATTTTTTATAAAGCAACTCGAAAGAAAATATAGTTTATAAAATAAAGAAAGGACGGAGAAGAGAGAGAGAGTAGACCCAAGCCACCGACACTTCTGATTGGTAAACTAGATATCTGAAGTGACCGTGCCCTTATGTAATAATGGATCACAACATTTTTTTTTAATAAAAAAAGAATGAAATGGACAAGGCACAGTGTTTGTGTCTTTGATTGAGTATAGCTAGCAGGGTTATAGTTGCAGGAAAGAAAGTATTGACCCCATGGCATTGATGCAAAATCCGTACGAAAGGGAACCCAAAAAAAAAAAAAAAAAAAAAAAAGTTTACAATGAAATTGAAGGAAAAGTGAATAAAATATCATTTTTTGATAAATTTTTTATCTAAATACCATACGAACAGTATTTTTGACCGGACTGCCACATGTTATAATTCGTTATCACTTGTAATGAATTTTATGGCCAATAATTTTGTGACACGTGATCATATTACATACCAAATTTATTATCACTGGTAGCAAATTTAATTCTTTTCATGCAAAATTATGTCACTTGTCATAAAATTATTGATGAACATAATTTATTACTGGTCATAACAAATCCATCACATGACAATGTAATAAACAATATTATTCGCGTAATCATTTGTATAATTTTTTTTTCAAAAAATAACATTTTGATGGATGTTTCCAAATAATGCAAGTGCTAGGCTGTGGGAGGGAGTCATTGATTCAACATGTCAAATATAGAGTAAATATATTTTTCGATTCTCAGCAAATTTTACGATGTCCGCTTTAGTCCCTAGCAAATATCGTGGTCCTTTAAAAAATTCAAAGTGAACTCATTTTAGTTCTTTTGAGAGACAAATGTGGATCTTTTTTGAATTTGTAAAGGACCACGATTTCAACTAAATAGTTTCATTTTAAATTTTTTAAAAACCACAAATACCTTCTTTATTTGCTAGAGACTAAAACGAATATTGTAAAATTTATTGAGGACCGAAAAAGATATTTACTCCCAAATATATCTCTGCCCCGACAATGGGTTCCAGTTTTCTCTTTTAGTCTTTTGGATTTGGTGTGGTTAATGTTTACTGTTAAGGGCATCGTGTGGTTCACAGTTCACTTTGCACCCAACACAAGCGAACACATCGCCAGCTGTGGCCTCTTGTTCTTCGCGGTCCCACTATTAATTATGATATTGGAACTTGCTCGGCTGTCCCTGGCCCCACCTCCTTCACGTTCTTTTTAACGTGGCATGTTGTTATTACAACACAAATATCAAATATCACCATGGACTAACCCAATTATTAGGCTTTGTATACGCTTTGCTTGGCTCTTCCATGTATTCCCCAAATACTCATGGTAAGGATTAAAAAAATTAAAAAAAGGGGAAATGAAACATCAAATAATTATTTTGTTTTCACATGTAAGAACAACTTATTTTAATATTTTCCGTGTAGGGAAAAGTATTTGTCCTTTTAAATGACACAACTTATATCCTTTCACTCTCATAAAAAGGTGGGACCCACATCTTTATATTTTTTTGTCCACTCTCTCTCCTCCTTTATTTATCTCTTTCTCTCACTTAAAATGACATAATTTTACATCCTTTAAAATGATACACACTTTTCCCTTTTCCGTAAGTTATGTCAAATGTTTGTAAATTTATTAAAACTATAAAAGTTAAAAAAAAAAATCATAGGTTTAATAATTATTAATCAAATACTTGCTTCCCCTTCTTCTTCTTATTAACTCACTTCCTTTTAATTTTTTAAAGAAAAAGGAAAACTCTATTCGCTTTTAGCTTTTAGCTTTTCTCTTTTCTTAGCGAAGGACAATGGCTATTGCCTGCATTTGGAAGCCCTTTGCGCTACCATATTCACTTTGGAGAAAGGCAAATGTTAAAATAAATGTTTCATTAAAGGAAATGTTACATTGACAATAGAATGACAAATTAATTGCGGTGGGATGAATGTATCACTCGTGCCAAATTTAAGAGCCAAAATTTAGGGGTGTTTACGGTCTTAATTAAATCGATTTCGAAACAAAAAATTATTCTATCCAATTCATTCAATTTAATTATTTAATCATTTATTTAGTTTAACTTTTTTTAATTTGATATAATTTTCAATTTTTTGAAAAGCTCAAAATTTCAGACATATAGATCATCAGGCATATCAAAATAAAATTATTCAAAGTTACAAATCACTGAAAAAATCAGGTCTTCAAATTAAAACAAGTCTTATAACACTTGAAGAATTAAAATAGATTAATAGACAATAAAAAATTAAAACAAAATAGTTTATTATCAATAATATTCAAGATTTCAAGTCTATAAAATACCAAATTTTCAAGTCATCAT